TGATTTACGGTATTGAGCGTACAAGGTAAGTGTTAAGAAACAATCGTTCATGCAGTTAACCTAATTACTTGAAGTTTGGTGCAAAAACGCATGATCGCACCGGCTCGCCTGGTGCGTCCCAGCCTGGGTTTTTACTTTTATCTTTTTACGACCTTTCCCATAACCATAAAATATCCAAATTTAAAATACTGGAAAAAACCGACTGCATCCCCTTGCGGCAGCCGAGACCTTTTTTGGAACATATTTTGGACTTTATACTTCGAACTTTCTAACCTGGTGCAATCATCTTTTTGCCACGTTTCATTTCGTTTATGTTTTTCACCATCCGCCTGACACCCAAGACACACCGGGCAGCACTCATTTTCCGGAATAGCTACCCAAGTACAATGTGCTGAAAAAGCATTTTTTAACCCTTTCATTTTCACAAAATTCCCGCAAAATCCATCAGATACTGAGGGAAACAGTCCTAAAAATGCTACTTTCTTTTAAACCACCCAGCAAGACTTTCGAACCAGCACAAGTGAAGCATCTACCCGGGCAGCTCACAAAAGGCTAAGAAAACGCTGCACCGGTCTAACCAGTGTTTGTTTAATCCGCACCTGATAATCAAACTAGGTTGTGCTGTTGCAAAGTGTGATTCGACACGACGAATTCTCGGACATCCGGGTTGGCAAGAGAGTTCAGTTGCCCTGGGCGACTGCTGCTAAGTCAATCTATTTTGCTGTAAATGAATCAAGCGTGAGTCAGCGTTGCAGATTGTCCACTAATAGACAATCAGTGGAATTGGGTAGGGAAGGAGGCAGCAACAGCTAATCAAATATTTCTATTTGCTCAAGAGCTTAGCAATCTTTTTCTCCAAAGCTGTCAAGAACACAATGCTTCCAAAACTGCAAAAGGTGTTAATTCCACATGCATTACTGCCGGTCATTATTACGGATATACGGTGCTTCCATAAATGTTAAAGCCGTCAGCAGAAAATAAGTACCAGGTCATCCGCAGGCTGACTACCAGGTAATGCACCATTGGTCAATGCAACTGGAAAAGTTACTAGCTGCATAGATGGAGAACCAGACTGTTCCAATCACTCTAATTATGTCGTGATCAAAAAGAACATTAAACTAATGAA